GAAAAAATAAAAAAAAAAAAAAAAAAGTTTCATTAAAAAATTTATAAAAATTATAAATAAATTGAAAACATGGAAGTTTTTTGAATAATAAATATTTAAAGCAGATAGTATAATTAAGGTAAAGCTAAAAATATTTATATTTTACTTTTTCTAGAACAGACATGACCAACAAGTAAAAGGTCACCATAACTAGCAAACACTTTAAGTATATGAAAATTAGTATATAAAGTTTAAAAATAATTTATCTAAATATCTGTTGTAACATAATTTTTAACAATTATTTATTTATATAATTATTTATTATAATAAGGGTCAAAAATTTGGAATTTTAAGATAAACACATTTTTTAATCTTTTTATACTACATAATTTTTAAGGGACAAAATACAAAATTTGAAAGAAATAAGTAACAGAGTTCTTGAAATAAAAATTTAAAAATTCAACTGTTTTTTAAATATTAAAATAATTGGACAAGTCATTATATTTAGAGAGAGAAAAATATTGAGAGCACCTTATTTCAACAATGATAATTAATTAGTTCAAATTATCCTCATTGGAATTTTTTATTGCTCTTCTATGTCAAAATTTTAACCCTAAAATGTTTTTAATTTTTCTGAAATAGATGCTGAGGAAATCAATTTTTTTTTATTAAATTGAGATTATTATTTTTTGACAGAGATAGAAGTTAAAAAAGATTTCATAATCAAAATATGAAAACTCTCCGGAGGCATTAAAAGAAGAATTATGGTGTTCTCTCTTAACAAAATTATTGGTTCATTTCATTCAATGCAGGGATTAAGCTATTAGAATCTTCTAGACCAATTTTTGTTAAGTAGCTTAAATTCAGTTCATATTTTCAGAAGTTTCTGTAGAGTTGTAAGAGGTAAATAAACCAACGTAACTTTAGATTAAATAATCAGATTTTCCGGTAGTAAAATTCAGTTTAAGAGCCAGACCTAAATATTAATTAACAATTAATTATGATAAAAAAGATATATTACGATTTAATATATAAAATATCAAATGCAAGAACACTACTTTCTATAAATAATACTTTTCTTTACAACAAATTTGGACTTTGGAACTGGAAAATACAGTCCCAAATTGCTCAGTCAGAAAAATAATGAAAAATTTTAAGCCCCTTAATGTAAATTGTAGTTTTTTTGATGAACTATTTAAACAAATCAAGAATTTTTGCACTTAATTATTACCTCAAATTATAAAATCTTAAACTATTTACAACTTAAAAAAAACCTCATAAAAATTTATAGGATACATAATATATAATTCATGAATATAAAAACCTAACCTACTTGGAGCATGAGGTGGTATTTGAGCATAATCTGCCAACAACAAACGTATTCCAGTGACATATCGTTGCCTGTAAAAAAAGACATATTTAGTTCACACACTTAAAAACATTCATTTCAATTACAATAGTTATCATTGCAAATATTATAAATCTTAAATCGCTGTTTTAATGAAAATTTGTACACATGATAAATTGCTATTGCATTGCAAAGAGGAGAACTGGTTTACTGTGTGTGAAAGCAACTTTATCTGAATTTGACTTAATTCCAAATTGAATTCAAAGTCGCAGTTAACCTCAAGCAATGAGCCCTTGGGGAAAAATTGTTTGAAAATTTCTCTGCTAATCACCACTCTTCTATTGAATAACATGGAAGAAACTGATTTTAAGATGCAGGAAAGCTTGGAGCTACAAGTTTGGAAAAAGTCGAGACAACCGCTCAGAGGGTTTAAAGATTATTTATTAAGTACAGTAGAAACTTGATTGATTTTCATGGGACATAGATAAGGGGAAAAAGACAAATCTGGGTTAGTATAAAATATCAATTAATGACTTGAAAATGTATGAAAAGTAATAAGGAAGTATAATTCTTTAATGCAAAAGAAGGATAAATAGACATTTTTATTTATTTAAAATATTTAAAAATTTCTGTCTGAACTCTTTATTTTTCTTCTCACCACAAACAATAAACATATTTATGTTTATTTTCAGTTAGTTTGAGTGAGAATAGAAAGTTTCCGATTGTTTCAGAGGCTTTTGAGGTCTTTCTCAAATCTTAACTTCTTGTATTTTTATTTCACCCTCTTCAGAATCACTTTGCAATCCTTGAGCTTCTGCAACCATTTCTTAAACACCACAAGTTTAAACATTTACATCAACTAATGCATAACATCAATGTCCTTAACTTTGGGGAGAAATTTTTTTCCCAAAATGCAACAAATCTTAATTTTCTTCCTTGTCATTAGAATCAGTTTTTCTTTCCAAAATGAAAAAATACCTATATTTTATTTTTATATGTTCAATGAATTTCTGAACCATAGGTGAGAGCTATTTCCAGAAACTATCTAACCAGGTTTTGTTAACATTATAAGAGTGGTTTTTCCTATGGGATGGTTAAAACAAAACCATAAATACGGGGAAGCGAAAGGTGTAGAAATGAGGGATCGAGGTACGACTATATAGTGTGCCAAAAAGAAAAGGACAACTCTGAATAACTTTTGATCTAATGATCAGATCTTCACGTTCTAGGACTCAATCTTAATGATTGGAAGGAGTGATCTTAAATATGCTAATTAATTGGTGCAGAAGATATTTTAAGCTAAGAAATATGACACAAAAACAAACCTTCTCTGAATAAACATGCCTATTTTTCTCTCGGTGGATTCAGATTTTTGACCTCCCAATTATAGGAGGTAGTCGCAATCTATGAAATATGGTCCATTGATCAGGAGAACGATCCAAAGTTTGGACCCACTAATGTTAATTTTATTTTTTGGGAATTTCGCCATATCTCGAGAACTTTTTAAGCGAATTGAAAACTTTTTGCACACAATTATAAAATTCGTTAATCCAAAGATAAATCCATGTAAAAAAATTAATTTCAGTTAATATTTATTATTTTTTATTTAGTAATAGTCGAAAAATTTTAATAGTCAGGTGTACAATTTTTTACATAATTTTAAAGTATCGAATTTTGCATAGCAAAATACAAAATTTGAGCGAATTTGGTTGAATGGTTCCTGAGAAATCAAATTTTAAACATAAGACTTTTAAAAAATTTAATTTCTCAGGAACTATTCAACCGATTTTGCTCAAATTTTGTATTTTGCCATACATTAAAATTATTTAAAAATTTATAAACCTTACAATTCAAAAGTTTTACGACTTTTATTAAATGAGATATTAAAAAATATTGAATATTTACTAAAATTTATATTTTGCATGGAATTATCTTTGGATTAACAAATTTTATAATTGTGCGCAAGATTTTTCAATTCGCTTAAAAAGTTCTCAAGATATGGTGAAATATGCAAAAAAAATTAACATCAGGAAGTCCAAACTTTGGATCGCTCTCCTTGACCAAACTATGGGGACCCAATTTCCCAGATTGTGGCTACCCTTTATATTTTGTTGGTCAGAAATCTGAATCCGTGAAAAAAAGGGATATTTATTCAGAGAAATTATGTTTTTGTGTCTGATTTCCTAACTTAAAATATCCTCTTTACTTATCAATTAGCATATTTGAGGCCACTCCCTTGAATCATTAAGATATAGACCTAGAACGTAAAGATTCGATCATTCTATCAAAAGTTATTCAGAGTGGCCTTTTTTTTTGGCCCACTGTACATTGAATAGTATTGTGAAGAACTGGCTTGCTGCTTGAGAAAGCAACCAGACTTTGTCCCAAATAAAATTCAGAGTTTGAGCTGAAGGATTATTTATTATTATTATTAACTTCATAGATTAATAAACAGGATAGTTTACCTTTGAGTAGTTAAATGGAGTTTTAACCCACTGTTGTCTGTAGTTCCTTCTACAAATAGAAAATAATGATGAGGATCAGGAAATTTTAAGATCACCATTGATACATAAATAAGAACAGTAAAAGGTTATACCTGGTAAAGAATTTGCATAATGTATTTGTAGTACTAGATATTGGATTGAGCTGTTTCCTCCAATCAGAAAACCTACATCTAAAAAAAATATCTATTTGATATACTAATACATAAAAAAATTCACAAAAAAAACTTTTATATTACATAAGAAAGTTATAATTAATTAAAAGAATTAAAAATAATTTTTAAATTTTGCAATTAAGATTATTTATATTAACTAATTAAAAATGGCTTATTGCATACAGAACATTAGCTCTTGGTTTGATTCAATTTCATGACAAAGATGAAACTACTTAATTCAATTGTGGATTTTATTGCTAAAGCTAAAAAAACAAAACAAATTTCATTTTTTTTAAAAAAAGAATTATGCTCTTTGAATAAAACTACAAATTTCTATTGCTTCTAAACTTTTTTTTTCCCCCAATGGCAGGCACTGAATTTGAATCTTTGCCTATACTATGCCAGAATTGTTGTTCATTTCGCGTTACCCAGTGGGCACCTGTGAACCAAAGTCACGGAGGCGAGTAGCATTGCCCACGCCACACTGCCACAAACCCGTTTATATGGTGGGTCACATTCACACAACAGAGGACAGCACAAAGAGAGAGAGAAACATCCAGGCCCAGAGCGGGATTCGAACCCGCAGCCTATGGCTTCGCAGTCAGGCACGCTAACCGCTCGGCCACCTGGCCGGCACTTTTAAACTACTCTTATAAAAAAATCATTATAAAAAAAATCTATAAAACACATTAATATAGATTGGTTAATTAAAATTTATTTAACAATAAGAAAAAAAGTTGATATAAGATGCAGAACTCTGTCAAAAACTACTTAATTATAACATTAAAATCTCCATATATCAACATCATCTCTCTCCATATATCAACATATACAACGTTTTTCATTTGGTTTAAATTACTGTATCTGTAGAAGTACTCAAACTATCTTAATTTATATAAATTTATAGTTTTCACAATATTGTTCTCTGAATTTTGTGTTAAAGTGTCTTAGTATAAGGGTTTTTCTAGACATTTTCTTTGACAGCAACAAATATTTATCTCAGCATTTCTTGTTCAAATATAACTTATTTTCCGCAACTTTGTTCACTATTGGAAAATTCAATAAGTTTAATTTTCCTTAATCATAGCCCATTCAATGATAAAGCAGGAAGAATAGATAAGATAGCTTGATCAGCTTTGTACAATTTGTGGAAGATTTCCATGCCAAACATTTGTACTTTTAAAATCATAAGTTATACCTTATTTTTTTGAATTAAAAGAAAAAATAAGAAAAAATAATGATACTGTAAAACCTCTTAAAAGCGACAGATATCTGCTCCACAGTAAAATGGCCGTTAATGGAGGTTGGTCCTTCATAGGAGTTACATCCATTGACTTCAAAATGTTATCTAATGTACATGATTTTTCGCAAGCAATTTAAATTTTATTTAGTGTCATTTTTTAGGTGCAGAAAAACCACTTTGCTGGTGTCATGAAAACCGGATGTAGGAATAAAATTTAGGGATGAATTACCCCTACTGATAAAATTATGTGCCAAAACAAATTTATCAATTATGAATTATAGATCTATTTTAAATAAATAAACAATTATGATTTTGTTTAAGTTTGCATTTAATTTCATATCATAAAAATTAAGTTTGCTTTAAAAAATGAGAAGAGGTCTACTTGTTATAGATGCTTAGTTTTTTCTAAAATAACCTTTTTTTTTTATCGAATTTATATTGTAACTTCATAAATAAATAATTGATAGCATTATCTTTAGTGCAAATTGACTGCAACATGAGGGTGACAATCTCTTTCAGAAATCATCAAAAAGAGCTCTCTCAAAATACTCACTAGCAATTATTTTGAACACAATTGAATCTACCTATTTGTTTTGTTAATATTTTTTGTTTTCATATTTTTTATGTTTCCGTAATAGATTTTCTTCTGCATTTGGTGCGGAGAATTGACTGGGTGCTAGCAGAGGAAAAAATTCTGTGCCTCCCAAAATTGGTTGTAAATAGAGGAGGTTGTTATACAGAAGTGATCTTTCTCAGAGGTTTCACTGTAAAAGATAATTCTGTGAAGTTTTAAGAGTGTTAGCAATTTCAAATGCAAATAAAAAATTTTGTTTCTATTTAACAACAGTGCAAAATTTAACCCATTACACAATCTTAAAGGTGTTTTAAAATGGAAATGTTGCTTTTATTGGCACTACATTGGAAAATTTAATAAAATCAATTATAAACCTGCAGGTAACTCTATAGAAGGAGCATTCTTTGCCCAGCCATACATGATAGTTATTTGATCACAAAGGTCACTATGGGCACAGTTCCTAAAAAGATACAAAACTAAAAGTGAAAACAATAAAGTTGACATTGTTTTTAAAACTATCACATTGAAAACAAATCAAAACTCATGGTATGGACTATGAATTGAAAACAAAAGCTGACATCATTGTAAAAAGGAGTTTTAATAAAGTATTACACACCTATGATTAATTAAACAAATTTATATATCTATGAATCAAAAAATAAAATAATCAAATAGAATAATGAAATGAAAAAATACATAATAGATATAGAAAGATAGACAGTATACTCTTGATATCTCGAAAACCTCGTCAAGACAAAAAAATATTTTCCCCCTTGGCATTACATATCCACATGAATGTTAATTTGAATTCCTATGTCGAAGAGTTTCTTATCAAAATCTAGTTACGTCGAATATTTTACGAAATAGAAAATATATTTAAAAAAATTCACAATATCAGTTTATTGTAAACCAATTATTTTCTATTTAATGCATAATTATTTTTGTCTCACTTTTAAAAACAAAATTATTATTACTGTATTTAAATACATATTTATTAGTCATTATTTTTATGTTTCATGACTCTACTTTTTAGAGTACTATCTTAGAATATATTTTTTTCTACTTTTTAGAACATATTTAGTTCTGAACTTGTTATCGCGAAAACTGGCTACCTTGAAATGTTTTTAGCGTCTCTTCAACTTTGAGATAAAGAGAGTATACTGTATTTCTTAAAATTAAAAAGATTAAGTGAAAAATCATGAAATGGAATAAGATTTTCACGACTGATTTATTTAAAGCAGTATTATTATTTCAGAATGGTCTTAAAAACTGTGCATTAAAAATATTTAAATAAAAACTAACTTAGTGTAATGAAAGTTCCGTTATCTTAATCCTCAAAATTACAAATTCTGGTATAGAAAAACGAGCAAAAATTAACTGCAAAATTGTTCTCCCAACAGCTATATACTGGGAAGAATATACATTTGAACTTTCTAAACATTTCATGATTTTTTTATTTAAAAAACAATTTTATAATAATTTACCAATGTGCAGGATATAAGTGGTTTTGATTCTTTAAATCTTTGCAGCCAAACAACAGCATATGATGTGCAGTTTTAGCATTAACATCTGGATCATATTTTACTGAAATAAAAGGGAATCACATGAAAGAAATCATTGATAAATAACCAAACATCAGACTAAATATGGAAGCCAGAGTTTCTATTTTCTCAATTTATTTAAAAAACTAAATCTCCAATTTGATTGATTATGAAGTATGAAACACACTCATATTTTTGGGAATTGAATAGATCTAGTATCTTTTGGGATTAACTTATACCGAAATTGAGATCAAATGAGAAACTGAATGCACCCTGTATTTTGCTAATAAAATTAGCTAAAATAATACTTTTTCATTGCATACTTAAAAAGCTTTCTTTTTTAAGTTGGATACAATTTTGGATGACTTAAAAAAAAATTATTACCTAAACAGCATTTCAAAATAAAACATTAAAACATTTTCTAAAAAAGAGGAAAAACTGTTTAAAAAAAAACACCTTAACATATGATTACGTTACGTAAAAAAGACTCAACATTACTAAAAACCACAATGTATGATTTAGCTACAGTAAAGAAAGTCTTAGATCTACTAAAAGAAAAAAATTAAACAGCTTGAAGAAACAAAGTATGCTCTTAGTTATTACTTTTTAAAAAATAATAATAAAAATACTAATATAAGCAAAGAGTTATTTCAAAAATATTAAACCTTATGGATTTTCTGAACACTTCTAAAATAACTAATCAGCAAAATTCATTTATTTTCTTGATGAACATTAATGCAGTATCACTAGATTGTTATACTGTTAAATCTCATTACCTTCCTGATATAACAGGTGTAAGCACATAGAAGCCTGCCCCCCCACAACCCAAAAAAAAATTCCACTGTAAATTAGTAATACAACAAGAAATTTGCTAGTTTCCCTGTCTTTCGCTTGAAAAGAAGCTCTCTGACAGACAATAGTAAACCAATCTATCTGCGATCTCAATCTTGATAGCAGGCAAGTAAGATAGGGAACAAGCAAACTTGTTTTAGCAAAATTATTTTAAAATTATAAGCTAGTACCTATTTATACTAAATTTTCATTTTTATATTTCTATTAATGATAGCTTAGATAATATTTATAATTGTTGATTTATATTTTTAATTATTGATAATTACTGACTGATCACTTTGTTCATAACATACAAACAAATTTAAGTCCAAATTTATGGAATGCAAGAGTAAAGAAAAATAAAAAACATTATTTTGAATTATTTTTTACTTTTCTTACTTATTAATGCAGTTCAAGGGCATCAAACATAATTCTTGTATTGTTATCATAATTCTTATTATATAAATGTATCTTATTAAAATAATTCTTATTTTAATTTTGTCACTGATGAACTTGAATAAAAATTGCACCAATTAAATTTGAAAAATTAGTAGGTTTGAAGCTTGCTTTACTTAATTAACTCTAAAAGTAGTTGCGGAGAATCCTAACTACTGTTTTTTTATATCATACTACTCACTATACGTTTGTTTTCTTAAAAAAAAGTAGCGATTACAAAAATTTCACAACTTAAAGACATTAATTCCAACCACTGATTCTAAATATTTAACATGCAAATATTAATATGCATTTTTCAAGAATTATAAATTCTTCAATCACTACAATATTGATTAAAACTAGTTAAAATTAGAAGCTATGCACAAAAACTGTTACGATACTAAAAAAATTTTTTATGCAACCTAACATGTACATCGTATTTATATTAAAACAAAGTATGGAGTGTAATACTTACTAATATAGGATTCGTGAGGATCCAGTTTACGAGCTGTGCAAACATAGGAATCAGGCTGGAATTAAAAAGCAATAAACAATATTGAAAAATCATATCAGAAATATGTCAATCTTATTCAAAATCAAAGATGGCAAGTTTTTACCATAATCATTAATCTGATAATTACTTCATTTCCCAGTTGTTTTTTATTTTCATTTTATTTTTTAATTTTTTTTTAATATCCATCACTGAACAGCCAACCCAATTTTGAGTTTACGACTATCAATGTTCAACCTTGTAATTTTGAACCAATCCAGAAGACAAGGAAACTCATGTATCAGTACCACCAAAGGTATTGATTTGTTATGGGAACAAGGAGGACTTTACGGCTCGACGGGTTCAACTTACATCTGTCACCATTTACAACATGGGGAGTCTTTGGCCGGCGGGGATCGAGCCCATGAACTCTTGGACATGGCTCCAGTGCCTTAACAACAAGGCTATCCCACCCTTCCTTCATTTTAGAAATGAGTAAATATTTACTATATTTTGAAAAATGCTTTATAAAGTTTCTTTTGCTTAAATGTTCAATTTTTTAAAAGTGGTCAGACATTTTAAAGTGTCCACTGTTAAGAAATGCTACAACTGGCCAACGGCCAGAAGCAAAATTTCCCAATTTTGCTCTATAGTATACAGATTTAAAAGTTCTATAAAAAAAAACATGAAATTAGCAGTTTTTTAAAAAAGTAAAGAATTTTAAACTTTCTGAATAAATTTAAGCTCTTCTCATCTACAATCATCTCCTAAACTATCCTATCAATTGTTTTTAGTTCCTTCCATTTTGCCTGGAGGTTTTTTTCCAGCATTTTAAAAAAAATAAGTTTCTTCAGGGCAAAAAGGCCAACCTGTTCAAAATACAGTCAATTATACCATTCAAAAGATTCAAGGCTGGAATTAAACCATTAAGTAACATTAAAAAAATGTTTAGATTTAATAATTCAATTTGATGTTGACTTGTCAAGAACAGTATAACAGAAAGCAAAGCCCAAAGAATCCTTTGTAGATAGAGAGCCTCATGCAATATCTTGTCATGGAAATCTCGTCATGTGACGTCATGGAAATGATTCATAAGTTTAGGATTGTATGCATTTTCACTAAATGTATAGCTGATTTATAACATTTCTTAAGTTATTTATTATTTCTTCGTATGGTGCAAGTGTATAGTTAGAAATTTTTAGTACAGACAAAGATACAAAAAGGAGCAAATGCGTGTAAAAAGGTTCACTACACCTATTTTAAAGAAACGACTCTTAAATGAAGATTATAAAACAATAACTGACATGAAGATTATAAAACAATAACTGACAAAGCAGTTGATGTGTACATGGAAATTATTTTCAAAATCCAAGCAAAGATACAAAATTTAGCTTCTTTCTTTAAAAAATAATAATATAGGTACTAATTGTTGAACAGTACTCACAACAGTGGGCCTGACATCTGGCATATTCAGATTCATACTATAGTGGCTATCAGCAGGAAATGGAGATGCCTCCATTCTCTGTGAAGCAGAAAAGGCAATGCATAGGATGAAGACAATTATTTGCTCCATGCTTCTATTTGAGCTATAAATAATTAAAATAATGTTTTTATAATAAAACAAGCTCTAAATAATGCATTCAGGGATAAGAGTAGTCAGAAAGTAATAAAGAGGAAATCCAAGAATTTTAAATATGCAATATTCAAAAGTTTGACAAAAAAAGTGAGATTTTTAAACCATGCGATTATAAATCCTGATGATTAATTTTAAAACTGTATGAATATGAATCACATTAATACGAATCACATGCATGATCTTAAAATCACGTGAGTAACTACTGCAATAAGTGAGATTTTAAAACCAAACCATTTAGTTAATTAATTAAGTCATTTAACGAACTTTCAAGCAGTGGTAAGAGAGATAGTAAAAAAAATCCCATAAGGGTACAAACTCGAAGTCAACCCCAAGCACACCTCCACATACATTTTTTTATTTATTTAATTAGAAAGTTTAAAATCTTTTTGGCGATAACAGTTGGAAAGAACAGGTACCGAAACGGAAATATACCCTTTATTTTTGCCGACTCTGGTAGCACGGGAATCCTCATTGAACAAGAAAATTGCCTAGTTTCTTAAGTTCACGTTAACTGTGCATGGAAAAACATTTAAGTAAAACATGTTGCAAATCTGTTTTCGAAAAAATGAGCATAACAATGATGTGAATTGTGTTACAATGTGGAAGTATCAAAAAAATAACTGACATTTGAAAAGACTAATTAATTAGCCATATGTGACAAATTTTTGACACTTTACGTTTGATATTTTCAAAAAACAATAGAAATTTTTTATAATAATGAAATTCAAAGACTATAGAAATACGATACTAATTCTTAATACGAAGCGGGTATTATTTACAAAAATTAATTTTTAAGCCTGTATAACGACGATAAAAATGTTGATATTCGTTCTAGTACTTACTGCAAAGAAGAGATTTATATTAAAGAAACAATTATATCGAAATCTCGTCTCCTAACCACATTCCGACCTTTAAATACCTTCGCTTTTTATATTTCTATTGCTAAACAGAAAACAAAAATTAGTCCTCGGAGCAGAAAACTGAAACGAGAACAAATTGCTAATGTTTACAGATTTCTATACTGCAGTTACAGTTAAGGTAAGCCATATTTTCAATAAATGATTAAATGGTAATGATTTAACAATCCGCAAAAGCCCAGGGAAATCGTTTTTGTTGTACATTGGCGATCGAAATGGGCTGCAGGTAGCGTAGAGCAGAACTCTTTTCCTATGGCAACACTTCACATGCTTTCCCCATTAGCGTGTGGAAAGTCATAGAGGAAGGAAGTACGTTAGTTTCTCTCTTGATTTTCATATAGATTAAAATCTTTTAACTTGAAAAACTATATGGAACTGAAAACTACATTAAACATAGTTCTAAAGAAAAGNTTTTTTTTTAGTTTCAAGTGTTTTAAATTAAAAACAGTTGAAAGTTTTAGTTATTTGTTTATAGTTTATTTTGAGAGTTTTAGTTATATTCTACTTAATTAATTCAAATGCTGTTTAGTTTTACTTACAAAGAAATATCCTTCATGTTTCAAGAAAGGTTTAATCAAAATTTTTATGTTGCTTAATGAGAGGTAAAAAGAATAACAAATTTTAAATAACTTATAATGCAAATGATTTATCACACAAAAAAAAATCACAAAATAAACGATTTGTCCCTTTGCTTTTTAGTGCCACTTGGAAACAATAATCTCACAAAGAGTATTTCAATATAAAATGTGCTGATCATCCATGTCAAACTGACCATAGCGTAAGAACACATGCCAGTAGTAATAGATTTTTTAGCCATAGAAATATGTTACGAGTGTGCACGGCGAGGAGGCAGATCACTCCCCAGTATTGTATTTAAGATAAATTTTGCTAAATAAATATATGTGATTCAATAACTTTTAGTATAAAATGTGTGACAGAACATTATATATACTTTCTATAATTTATATATTTGATTCACATTTTAATGTGAATAAAAACTTATTCTCATGCAATTAACCATTGTTTAACTAAGAAAAGCTATACTCTTAAATACAGGGTGCGTAGCCAAATCTTTGAATCAAAAATAAGCACTTTTTAAAAACTTTTCAAGCACTTAACAAAAATTTTCAAGCACTCAAAAAATTCATATTCAATCAATGATATTATTGAAAAACAAAAACTTTTTATAAACAGTTTTAGCGTTAAAAAAAACCCAAAAAGAAACGGGCGTAAATCGAAACAATCAGTACTTTCCCACATCACCGAGTGAATTCAACTTGACCCTGAACTCAGAACAGAAGTACCCTTACCTCCTACGTCAAAAAAAGTGTTAGAAGTAAAATAAAATAAACAAGAACAAAATTAAAATAAATTAAAAAGAAAAACATTTCATAGGGTCTGATATTCTCTATCCGAATTGGAGTACTCGGGTTTCGGTTTCAAGAGTGCGCGCATGCGCAAGTCATAACGTGGGTACGACATGAAGTCCGCGTGAATGATTACGTAGCAAACTCCCCATTTTTCGTGAAATGCATGGGATCCACCAGATATCACTGAAGGGAAAAAGAAAATTATTCGAAAAAAAAGCACTTTTTAAAAACGCCAGCGGAAAAAAGCACCTTTAAAAGCTTTTAATAACGAAATCCCCAAAAAAGCACCTTTAAGTACTTTTTACAAACGCTACGCACCCTGACCTCCTTGCGCTGTTGCTCTTCAGTCTCAATAACACACAACGTCGGCATGCACACACTCGACTGCTAATGGCAACACAGGAGCAACCCTCGACCAACCATGAACTAAATACACGATTAACACTTAAAAGCACAGTGATCTCTTAATACAGCTCTCACGATCAACACTCAAAAGTACAGTGATCTCTTAATACAGCTCTCCCGGCTTCACACAAAACAGCAATGAATCAACTAGTGGCATTCGTTCATTGAATTCTATGACAGATATAATTCTAGTGAGGAAGTACTATAGTGTGTCTACCACTACAAAAATACAATTCCAATTCACTAGTATATAAGACACATTAATTCGATTCTATGTTGGTTTTCCTTTTCATAGATGAAAGTTGACATTGTCGATATGACTTTCTCCACGCAGCGGAATAAAGAATTAAACAAATCTTCAATAATTAGGTTATGAGAAATAACTACTGAAACCATGTATAGGAATTAACCTGACTTTAACCCTGTTTTCCCAGATAAATTTCATTCAAAATTTAAAATTTCGTGATTACAAGCATTTGAAACAAGAAAAATTTTGTTTGTAAAGAGAAAAATATTTATGATTTAAAACAAAATGGAAAAAGAGAGAAATTACTCCAATGTAATTTGAAAAAGGATGGTACAAGGAAAATATAAAACAAAAACAACAAAAAAGGAGTTTTCTATTATAAAAAAACAAAACACTATCTTACCTAAAACCAAACTTGCAATCGCAGCTGTGAGTAAACTGCTGGCACAAAGCAGAGTAGCATGATGCACATTGAAAGTGTTTTCTTGTACCACATCTACGACAATGGCAAAGATTGCAGCTAAGAAAGCAACTATTGTTGCCTGGCACTGAANAAATGGAATAAGTGAATCATAAATCTATCCCAATTCAATGTTCAGAAGACAAGTTTTCTAATAAAATAAGAATTAGAAGTACCATTCAAAATAAAAGTACCATTAAGAAAAATAACATGAATTAATAAGATTGACTGACTATGATATACTCAAAACTGTGTTTAATATATATCAGTTTTAAAATAAATAAAAACATACACACATAAATAAAACACTAAATCCTAAATAATAATATTCATTTTAATGCAGGTATTCTATACAGTTATTTCTAATCAAGTTGTGACATAACATTACAAATCACACGAAATACGTAAACAAAGTGACCAAATATATATCATCAAATTGCAGCATTTAAAATGAAATTTTCAATTAAAACTGCATCACTATTTAAAGTTCAGTACACTATCTTTCGAAAAATATATGTAATATTCTAAATAAATTCAGAATATTAGTTAAAAACACTTTATTTTTAAACTTCGTAATGTTAAGTCTATGACAACCTCGCCACCCAGGCACCCGCAATTCATTGTTTGTTTACAATCAATGCCCGTGCCCCATTCACAATGGGATATTAACTTTCCAAAATTTTTTTTGGCCTTACGACCTCTGAGAATCAATACATTTTTGAAAGCTCTTATGAATGGTACAATTATGTTTAGATTTGAACCCAAATTACAATTACAAAACTGCATAGAATATTAGGCTTGTTCACACATCACCTCGTAGTCATAACATAAGCGGAGGGATACACCGGAAATTTTCTAAATTTCTTCCGGTTTAAGGACGCTTGCTATTGTTTACATTAGGCCACCCATCCATAATAGAAATGATTTTTGCCTCTCATTTCGCAAAATTCGGAACATACCCCCTTTTGACAAGATTATTTTAAGTTAAACTTGCAACCATTTGTATAAAATGGAGAACGAAATAGCGAAAAGCTTTCTTGGTTAGCCTGATGGCAACGGAGCTAAGATCTTTCTTAATCAGCGTATATTTTATATCAAAACTGCGTTCTCAGTGGGCTGAAGTTGTCTAACATTTACGTATTAACTCACTCAGGGAGGCGTTTAACGATCCACTCTCTTGTTTAGCGTCTTTTTAAATAAAGAAAAACATGATTTCTGAATTTTTTTTTTTTAAGTTCAGGTGACGCTTTTTAAAAGAATTACAGTTTTTATTATAATTGAGATCAACTACAGCCAAGAGGAAAATTCCAAAAAATGAAAATGAGTCGTTATGGGCTGATGATTGTAAATTAGACTTTGGGATTCGAACTTACATTGATCAATCTAAAAACATGCTGACTTGTCGTGTATTTAGCCGTTCGAGGCTATGTTTATGAACTATCACGCCTACGCAATCGAATTGGGACTTTCCCTCTAAAAGTTTCAGTTTCGATTCCTCATCTGTTAGCGTTGCGTTAAGACGCATCTTTTGTATTCCAAATTCTAAATGTTGTAATTAATTAATAAATAGTGCTTGTTAAATATAAGAGTGTTATTTCCTAAAACCCCACGCTATGGGACAGCACACTGGCGACGAGTTGGTGAATTTTATTTTTCAATAATATAAAATATCATCGTTTGAAAAAGTTACGTTTCAAAACGAAACTAATTTGGATTAAGGTTTCAAGTACCTGAAGATAGGTAAAATTTTTGCTCTTGAAGACTGCTCCAGGTAGGACAATTTATTTCTTTTTCCAAATGGAAGGCCTCATCTCTCAATTAGTTGAACAAAATAAATTGTTAATGTCGGCGCTGCAGCCGAAAGATGAAACCAGAAACAAAAGTAACGTTACTGGTGTAAATTTCGAGAAATTCGATGATTCCCAAGAAACATTTGAATCTTTTTTGGAGCGGTTTGAGGCTTTTTTGGACATCCAAAATGTTCCAAATGTAAAACGAGCGAAAACATTAATTTCCAGCTTATCAGCAAAATTGTATTTAAAAAATTTGTTGGCTCCCAACAATCCAGCTGAAGCTGATTTTGAAACCTTAAAAAACAATCTTAAAGATCATCTTCACCCGAAACCATTAATTATTCCTAGCAGACATATTTTCCTTAATCGTAAACAACACGAGTGAGAAAGTATTAATGCTTATTTAGCAGAACTTCGTTCATTGGCAATGCCATGCAATTATAAACAAGAACTGCTGAACACTATGCTGCGGGACGTTTTTGTGAGCGTTCTCCGTGATCGTGCCACATTAGACAGACTTTTTGAAGAAGATGATATAGATCTCGAGCTCACTGTAAAAATTGCTTTGGCCATGGAAAAGGCTAGTAAGAGCACCCAAGAAATAATTGGGAAGGCAACAGAAATTAAAGAATTTAAGGCTAACAGGAAAAAAGAACCGAAACAATTTTGGTCTAACAAAACGAAAGAAAAAAATAACTTTGCATGTTATCGGTGTAAGGCAGCGATTCTCAACCTGTGGGGCGCGCCCCCCTAGGGGGGCNCAAGGGAATGTAAATACAAATCTGCAACATGCGGCTACTGCCATAAAGTTGGACATCTAACAAAAGCGTGTTTTTCTGCCTCAGCAAAACAATATAAACATGTT